CAGTGGAATTGGGGTAAAATGGGTGAAGATGGTCAAAAAATACAAACCTCCAGTTATAAAATAAACAAGTCCTGGGGATATAATGTACAGCATGATGACTGTAGGTAATAATATTATATTGTATGTGTGAAAGTTGCTAAGAGAGTAAATCTTAGGAGTTCTCATCAGAAGAAAAAACTTGTAACCACGTGGGGTGATGGAAGGTAACTAGACGGGTTGTGGTGATTATTTTGCTCTACATACATACATCAAATCATCATGTAGGATACCTGAAACTAACCTGGTGTTATACATCTATTACATATCAATTTTTTAAAAAATGAAAAGGAAAAAATCCACTCTCTTTAGCTCTTACGTTCCTTACTCTCTAGCAGTTTATGGTCTAGTGCTCTAGTGAGAGATAATGTTTGCATTCTCGAGGGTTAATGTTTGTAGCTCCGTGTCCTGTGGACCACGCCACACCAAGCACGGTGAGTTACAGAACAATGTTCAATCAGCAGATAGTTTATGCAATTCAGTGCACCTTCTACTGTCCTGGTACCTGAGGGTGGGACACAGGAAGATCAATGTGATAGTATTATATTTCCCTGCCATAAAAAGAACAAAAAAGTCGGGCTGTCAGCATCTTCAAGTTAATAATAACTCAGTTTTAGGGAGACCTGAAAATGAGTAATAACAGAAAATGACAACATTAAAACTTTCTAGCATTACTGTTAATTTATGCAAATGCCAAATTACATGCTTATACTTTATAAGCTTTTTAAAGAGTTTTTGCACTATGAAAAAATTACAAAGCAATTTCTACATGGCTTCTACTGCTTGTTTATGTGTTTAAGCTGAGAGAAACTTCCTCTATGGTCCACATGACTTTTCACCAGCCCCCACTTCTACTTAGAACTAGTAGAGGAAGTTACCAAATCATTAGAAAGTTGAGTCAGTTCTTCAGAAATGGAACTTATTTCCTATAGAAATGATACTATACACATAGCCTACCTAACTTGTGCTGTGCCCAAATATAGCAGTGATAACACTGAAGACTGCAGCATTGTGCTTCAAGCCCTCCCAGGGGTCATTCATCACAAATTCTAACTTGAGATGACAGGAACCCGGTCCCATGGCTGTAATCCTTTTGGATATCATCTCCTCAACCACAGAATGATTATTAGGACCTGGAGAAAGAGTTCAAGCCTTCTGAGACTTGGGTGAAGGACAATAGGAAGAGAGCATGGAGTCCTTTGCTTCCCTGCTTCTGCATCAGCTTCTAATTACATTTCTTATAGGGTCCTGAGAGTGGCCCACATTTTCTAGTTCTACTACCCTGACCTGTCCCTTCTGCCCACAGAGTGTCCCCTCTCCCAGACCACTGCTGTGAAAAACTGAAGTTATTCTCTAGTCTACAAGTATGTGAAAAAGTGCACAGTCCTCTGGAGCAATGGTTTTCATTATTTCTTTGACTAAGATGCACGGTATTAGAAGTATTTTAAATCATAAGTCAATATGTATATACCTACATATATATAACTTTATGTGTATATGTACAAAAAGCTTTATGCATATATGAAACAAAGGCGTTAGGGAACAAAACACAGTATGTGATATGCTCACTGATAATTTCTATTCTAGCGTATTGAAAAATGTTAGTCACAGCTCACTGAATTGATTTCATGTCTGATTCACAGGTTACAGCCCACTGTTTGGAGAGCTAATTGTCAGGTTTTAAAAATCATTTTAATAATAAGAGTAAAATAATTTAAACTAGCAAATTAGGGAAAATTCAAAAACTTTCAAGTCATCTCAAAAGTGTCATTCTACTGGACATTTAGTTTACTTTGGCTATTGAGGTGTTGAAGCTCATTCCTATGTTTGAAAAATTCTCTATCTCATGATTCTTCTTTTAATTAATTTATGTTTTATTGCAGTACAGTTGATTTATAGTGTTGTGTTAGGTTTGGGAGTACAGCAAAGTGATACTCCTTTTTAAGATCCTTTTCCATTGTAGGTTTTTACAAGATATTGAATATAGTTCCATGTTCTATACAGTAGTAGGTCCTTGTTGTTTATCTGTTTTATATATAGTAGTGTGTATCTGTTAATCCCAAACTCCTAATTTACCACTCTCACCTCCTTTTCCCCTTTGGTAACCATAGGTTTGTTTTCTATGTCTGTGAGTCTATTTCTGGTTTGTAAACAAGTTCATTTGTGTCATTTTTTTTAGGTTCCACTTATAAGTGATATCATATGATATTTGTCTTTGAGGTACTTCACTTAATATGATAATCCCTTGGTCCTTCAGTATTGCTGCAAATGGCATTATTTCATTCTTTTTTATGGCTGTGTAATGTTCCATTATATATATAGGCCACTAATTTATCCAGTCATCTGTCAATGGACATTTAGGTTGCTTCCATGTCTTGACTATTGTAAATAGTGCTGCTGTGAACACTGGGGTGCATGTACCATTTGAATTAGAGTTTTCTCCAGTTATATTCCTAGGAGTGGGGTTGCTGGATCAGATGGTAAGTCTATTTTTAGTTTTTAAAGGAATCTCCATACTGTTCTCCATAGTGATTACACCAAATTACATTTCCACCAACAGTGTAGAAGGGTACCTTCTTCTCCACACCCTCTCCAGCATTTATTGTTTGTAGACTTTTTGATGGGGGCCATTCTGACTGGTGTGAGGTGATACCTCATTGTAGTTTTGATTTGCATTCTTCTAATATTTAGTGATATTGAGCCTCTTTTCGTGTTCCTACTGGCCATTTGTGTGTCTTCTTTGGAAAAAATGTCTGTTTAGGTCTTCTGCCCATTTTTTGATTAGGTTGTTTGTTTTTTGATATGAAGCTGTATGAACTGTTTGTATATTTTGGAAATTAATCCCTTGTCAGTAGCATTGTTTGCAAATATTTCTTCTCATTCCGTAGGTTGTCTTTCATTTTGTTTATGGTTTTCTTTGTTTTGCAACAGCTTGTAAGTTTATTAGGTCCTATTTTTTAATTTTTGTTCTTATTTCCGTTACTCTAGGAGATGGACCCAAAAGAATAGCGCTGCAATTTACGTCAAAGAGTGTTCTCCCTATGTTTTCCTCTAGGAGTTTTAGAATATCTGGTCTTACAATTAGGTCTTTAATCCATTTTGAGTTTATTTTTGTACAAAGTGTTAGAGAATGTTCTAATTTCATTCTTTTAAAGGCAGCTGTCCATTTTTTTCCTAAACAAACTGTGGGAAGAGACTGTCTTTTCTGCGTTAAATATTCTTGCCTCCTTTGTTGAATAAATATATGTTAAATAAAAGTGGTAAGAGTGGCACCCTTGTCTTGTTCCTAATCTTAGAAGAAGTGCTTTCAGCTTTTCACTGTTGGGAGTGATGTTAGCCGTGGGTTTGTCACATAAGGCCCTTTACTGTGTTGAGGTATATTCCCTCTGTGCCCACTTTCTGGAGAGTTTTTATCATAAATAGATATTAATTTTATCAAAAGCTTTTCTGCATCTATCGAGATGATCATGTTTTTCAATTCAAGTTTTTATTCTTCCATTTGTTAATGTGGTATATCACATTGACTGATTTGTGGATATTGACAGATCCTTGTGTCCCTGGGGTAAATCTCACTTGATCATGGTGTGTGATCCTTTTACTGTGTGTTGGAGTCGATTTGCTAGTATTTTGTTGAGTACTTTTGCATCTATGTTCATCAGTGACATTAGCCTGTAATTTCTCTTTTTGTGATATCTTTATCTGGTTTTCGTATCAGGGTGATGATGGCCTCGAAGAATGAGTTTGGAAGTGTTTCTTCCTCTGCAATTTTTTTGAAATAGTTTCATAAGGATAGGTGTTAACTGTCTTTGAGATGTTTGGTAGAAGTCCCCTGTCAAGTCATCTGGTCCTTCACTCAGGTAGATTGCCTGTCTCCTTGTCACTTAGTTCTTCCTCTGGGGCTTTGTTGTTCCTTCTAAACATATTCTCTGCTGCCTTATTTTGTCTAAATTGCTGTTTGTATTTTTATGTATGTGGTAGTTTAGTTATGTTTTTTGACCTTGGAGAAGTGGCCCTCTGTAGGGGACATCCTGTATATCCCAGCAGAGAACTCCACTCTCGTCATCCAAGGGCCAGGGGCCAGCTGTTCCGAGGGTAGTGTCTGTCCTGCATTTACGGACTCGTTTCACAGGCTGTGAGATCGTAGTTTTCTTGTTTCTGGTGTCTGGCCGCTGATAGGTGAGGCTGGTCTAGAGGTTTGTGCAGGCTTCCTGGTGGGAGAGGCTGGTTCTGGCCCACTTGTGAGCAGAGCTGGTAGTCAAGGCTGTGTCTAGGTGTGTGTCCAGAGGTGGCTGTGGCTCAGGAAGTCTTTAGGCAGTCGGTCTGCTGATGGGTGGGGCTTTGTCCCCCCTACTTAGTTGTTTGACCTGAGGCATCACCTCACTAGAGGCCAAGGGCTTTTGGGTGGGGCCCAGTCTTGTTGCTAATGACCCAAGATGTCAGCCACCGGGAGAGCTCATGCAGATGAATGCCCCCCACATGCCCACCACTAGTGTCTGTGTCCCCAGGGTAAGACATGGCCACTTCCCCACCGCCTCCCCAGGAGACCCACCAAGACCAGCTGGTCCAGGCTCTACTTTTACCCTTTGTCCCAGTGCACATTAGATTTTTTCATGCATCCTTTAAGATTGACGTCTCTATTTCCCCCAGTCCTGTGGAGCTCCTGCAATCAAGCCCTCTGGCCTTCAAAGCCACATGCTCTGGGGGTCTCCTCTGCCCGATGCCAGACCCCGGTGCTGGGGAGCCTGATGTGGGGCTCAGAACTCCCACTCCTGTGGGAGAACCTCTGCAATATAATTATTCTCCAGTTTGTGGGTCACCCACCCGGAGGGTATGGGATTTGTTAATGTCGCAAGTCAGCCCCTCCTATCCATCTAGTTGTGGTTCTTTTATGTCTTTAGTTGTAGAAGATTTTTCCTGGTAGGTTCCAGTCTTTTTCATCGATGGTTGCTCTGCAGTTGGTTGTGATTGTGGTGTGCTCATGAGAGGAGGTGAGCTTAGGGTCTTTCTACTCCACCATCTTGGCTGCTTTCCTGATAACCACTGTAAGTGTGGATAGTCCAGCTGCACGTCTTCCTGGACACTTACAGCTCCTTGAAGCACATGCATCTGGCCATGCCATGGACAGCTGAGTGCCTAAAGCAGTGATTCTTAAAGTGGAAGAACATTTTCTTGATCAGGAGGAAATGCCTTGTTTGTGGAAATGAGAACTATTTATTATAAACTCTTGACAGCTGATTAAATCACGTTCAATTTGTTGCTAGATTTGCTAGGAGGAAAACTCTTAGTTTCCTTCTTACTTTCTTTGTTGCCTCATGGTGTCCTGCTGCCAGGAGCCAAGGGGTCACTCCTTCCCTCCACCTCAGGGCAGTCCTTCTTGTGAAGTCAGGGCTGGAGAAGGAAAGGAGGCTGTGAAATATCACCATAGCCCAAATAGACCACAGATGAAATTCCAACATTATTAGGAAGGTATTACTGTCAACCTGTTTTACAGATGAGCAAACAGAGGCTCAGAGAGATTAAATAACTTGACCAATGTTATACTGCCAGAGCACCTCAAGATTCCTGAGGAAGTAGGGCCTTTCTCTTGCTAGAAACACTCCTATTCCACTGTCCAAACACCTTCTTTCTCTGGCCCCTAGAAGTGAGAGATAAGTACAATCTTCTAGGCCCTTGGTCTGGAGCAAGAATGTATCTGGCAGCACAAATTACTCTTGGCTACAGATACCGTGGGACAACAGTGTGTACTTTCTAGTGCCACATGGACCTAGGTGCCAGATGCCGCATCCAGTATCCATCTGGAAGGAAATGTCTGCATCCACGTGGTGTTTGGTGGTGCAATTTTAGCCACAGTCTTTGTGCCCAGCCTCCTTGTTTCTTGCCTTGCCTGTGTCTGATTCTCTAGACTTTTTGGCAATTCCCTTTCTGTTTAAATCTACAGTGTAAGTTGGTTTCTCTTATTCGCAACCAGTTGCAATCAACTTCCCTGAGGTTTAATTATATATTAGAGATTTTTAGCTCTGCTTTATACAAAAAAAAAAATTTATCCTGACGATTCTTTGTAAAATCTGCACTAGAAATCCAGTGAAGAGAAGGCTGGGGAATTTCAAGAGGTGACAGTTTAATTGGGAGATTGAAAATCTGGCTTGCTGGTAAGACATTAAGTTGAGGAAGAACCCATCTTGGAGTCTTTCTACTTTTCTTTTTCAAATAGCATCCTCGTTATTTCCCTCCTTATTGTCCAAAACTCTGGGGGTACCAAAAGACTAAGGTTCAGTGTGGAGGACAAGGAAGCCAGTCATAGGCAATGAAAGGAAAGGGGTCCCTAGCGGTAGCATTAGGGAATGAAAGTAACCATTATGGTCACTCCCTGGGACAGCCCCTCACATGCAAGGGGCCAGTCCTGGGTATGTATCAGTCGGGAAGTGTATATGAAGCTAAAATACATCTACTTCCCACAAGCAGTCATCTGAGTTTATTTATTATTATTTTGTCAGCACACTGTGATATCCAGTTTAATTCTTCCCAATTAAAACCTAAATAGCCAATGTAAATTCTCCTGGTTGATTCATCCAGATGGCACCTCAATTTCTGTACAGTTTCTAGTCAATAGGATTGGTACAAGGAGTACCCAAGTGCAAAGATGCAGGTTTGTTGGGAGAAACATTCATTAAATTCTATGGTTGCTTTCCTCTTTAGAACATCATGCTTTGACATTTCAGCCATACTCATTGCATAAGAGATTTCAGACTAAATGTTTTGTGTATAAATCTAGCACAGATTGGTTGAAAACTTTAATTCGCACCCCAAATGTCCCCCAGGGTACGGAATCTGCCCTGGATTAACACA